GCCCCTCCTCCGCCGCCTCCTCGGGCCGCACCGCCCCGCCGCGCCGCGTCCCCTCACTCGGCGGCGCCGCTGGCTGCTTGTAGGACACAAAAGGACATCGCGGCCGCTTCCTACTCCGCTTCCTCCAGCTGACAGCGGGGGCGGGGCCTGCCGTGCGCATGCAAAGCAGGGGGCGGGGTAGGGCGCCCTATGCTAATAAGACTTTCGAGGCGGGTAGCGCCTGCGTACCCTGAGGACGCCGCGCCGCGTCCCCTCACTCGGCGGCGCCGCTGGCTGCTTGTAGGACACAAAAGGACATCGCGGCCGCTTCCTACTCCGCTTCCTCCAGCTGACAGCGGGGGCGGGGCCTGCCGTGCGCATGCAAAGCAGGGGGCGGGGTAGGGCGCCCTATGCTAATAAGACTTTCGAGGCGGGTAGCGCCTGCGTACCCTGAGGAGTCGGGGAGGAGATGGAGGGTCGGCGGGCGGGGCTTTTAGGAGGCCCCGCCCATCTCGCAGAGCCTCAGAGTGTCATGCGCGTGCGCGGCCACCCAGGGGGTGGGGCCAGACACTCGGCGAGGTGCGGGGGATTGCGAGCTCGAAGGGGGTGGAGCCAGGAGCCCCCTTTCCTCGCGCCAGAGGCGGGCGGAGCTCTGAGTGACAGGAGTGGGCGAGGTCTCTCTGTGGACGCAGTGCGGGGCAAACGAAATATGTAAATGAAAGGGCGGGGCGAGCGGAGGAACTAATATTTGCATATGTATAAGGGGTGGAGCCTAAAGGGGGCCCTGCACCTTTTCCCTCCCCGCCTCTCCTCCCAAGATAATGTTAATGGGACACTTGAACCACAGACTTGCTAGACCTCCAAAGCTCTGGAACCTGGAGGAGACCTAAAAGATGCAAGTAGTCCATTATTGCGAGTCCTTGAAAGGCAGGGCTGAAAAGACCCAGAGAAAATTCAAGGTCACTGCGGTGACCGAATGAAGGTCATGGGGAAGGGCGGGGCCACGTGCGTCCGCCTCACGCAAGCAGTCACGCACTGACTCACGGACCATGCATGGACTCTTTAATTTTTCTAGGGCTCATATTCCACGCAGATGGGGGTCGAGGTTAAGTCTAGGGACCGGGCAGAGTATGGGGGCTGGCGTCTAGGCGGCTAGCGCTGGAGTTTCACACAGATACGCAGTGCAGCCTCTTGTTCCTGCGCTTCTTGAGGCCCTCGATGTATGCCTGCAGCTCTTCAGTCATGAAGTGGGTCTTGCCGATCTTGGACTTGTAGGCTAGGAAGAGGTCAGAGCTGAGCGCAGTCAAAGCCTCCCCCAGTAGGCACCACCCCTCGGATTCGAGGAACCACCGGCGATTTGAGGTAGCAGTTAAGCTGGGCTTGGGTGTTTGCTAGTTTGGGGGACTTTGGCTCTGCAAGGTGCAGTGAAATACTGCTAAAGATGCAAGCCCGAGGCAGGGCGATGGAGCCAGCAGCTTTACAGCCACCTATGCGCCACCCACTGACTGATCATCTGGCCCTTCCCTCTGGATGTTCTTCGTGAGCAGAAGTTTACCCAGAGAATCTCGTGTCCAATAAATTTATCCAACTAATTCAGACATGTCACAGCTCCCCCACCTGGGGATGAAGCAAAGCTACACAAAGGCTCTGTTCTCCTGGGCAGGTGGAGAAAACAGACCTGCAAGGAAGGGGCTCCTTTTAAGTCCTCTGAGTCACCCCATTGGGTCTACTTTTGCCTGGTCTCCCAGTATTTAACTTCTGAGGCACCCTTGTTTGTGAATGCTAAGGGGATGTGACAAGGCATACACATCCTGACTCTCCATGCCCACAGCCCCAAGTCCTGCGAAATTCACCGGGATCTTCTGTGGAAGCTAGGGTCGGGGTGGCTCACTAGTGAGGGCTTTGTTGAGGATTTCCAGAGCTTCATTCTCCATGAGTTCCATCAGGGGCAGGGGCAGCTGGAAAAGCAACAATCAGCTCAAACACCCAGGGAACCCCAGTTCTGCCCACAGCTGAAGTGCTCCCCAGCCTGCCTGCCCCTCTGCTCTGCCACCCACCGTACCCTGTCATTACTGCAACCCTCAACTGCTACCCACCACCCATCCATCCCCAGCAGGATCCCCAGACCCCTCCAACCCTGTTTTGTTGTTCTGCCCAGTAAGCTGGATGAGGTGTTTGCTTTGAGTGGCTGACCGATAATTCTGAAGCAGACTTTACTGGAAGAAATGAAAACAGAAGTTAGTCATCTGCAGATTCCTAGATATGCCCTGGAGCAGAGATGTATGGGTAGGTGCATGGTGGGGGTGTGGTCAGAGTCCAGTTCCACATACTACTTCCATTGAAAACCGTATGGGAGGGACATTGATTATACTCCTAGGCCACCCAACTGCTTTTCTGAACTGATTTTCCCACTAGTGATACTTAGAGCTAGTAACTGAAACATTCTGATTCTTCATTTGTAAAATGTGGTCATAGAAACAGACTTTTATGATGGGGGGGGCTGCTGTTTACACATTGGGAATTGAACTCAGGATTTTCTGCAAGCTGGGCAAGTACTGTATCAGTAAACTACATCTCCAACTCCAAATGGCCTATTATAACTGTTGGGATGTTTAAAGGTGACAAGATAAGGCAGTCCCAGACCTGATATACAGCAAGTGTTCAATATGTGTTAATTGCTAGATTTTTATCAATTTCAATGAAGGTGGAGAGAGAAGGGGCAGTAGGGGGTGGACACAGTCTCAAATAATGCCTGGCATACTATGATAAGTGCTTCAAATTGTTAAACAAATGGCCAGGCATGGTGGTGCAGGTCTTTAATCCCAGCATTCGGGAGGCAGAGGTAGGCAGATCTCTGTGAGTTCAAAGCCAACCTGGTCTACATAGTGAGTCCCAGGCCAGCTGGGGCTACAGGGAGACCCTGTCTCAAAAAGGCAAAAAAAAAAAAAAATGTTGGGGCTGGAGAGATGGCTCAACGGTTAAGAACACTGGTTGTTCTTGCAGAAGACTGGGGTTCGAATCCCAGCACCCACATGGCAGCTAACAACTGTCTGTAACTCCAGTTCCAGTGGATCCAACAAGCCTCTTCTGTCCTCCATGGGTATTGCAGGATACGGATGCACGTACCTACTTGCAGGCAATACATGCATATACATAAAATAAAAATAATAAATAATTTTTTTTTAATTGTTAAACTGCCAGGGGTGGTGGTGCACACCTTTAATCCCATCACTCGGGAGGCAGACAGAGGCAGGCAGATCTCTGTGAGTTCAAGGCCAGCCTGGTCTACATAGCGAGTTCCAGGACAACTGGGGCTACAGGGAGACCCTGTCTCAAAAAAGACCAAAAAAAAATTTGTTAAACCAAGTCAGGCATGGTGGTGAATGTCTATAATCCCAACACTCAGGAGGCTGAGGCAGGAAGATCACCAGAGTTCAAGGCCAGCCTGGGCTACATAATGAGACTTTTTTTTTCTTTTTCTTTTCTCTTTCATTTTGTTGTATAGTGAGACTCTTATTCCAAAAAGAAATACAATATAAAAAGAGATTTAAGACCTCAAACCAGCTAAATCCCCAGATGGGGATTTAACTCTGCCTTTTCAACTGATGAAGTGATTCCATTAAATCCACAAGTCCGGGCTGGAAATGTAGTTCAGTGGTAGAGAACCTGCCTAGCATGAGTGAGGCCCTGGGTTCGACCCTCAGCACCTTATCAAACAAACAAGAAAACTACCTGGGCTGCTTGTGTGGGTTAGCCTGCGTGGGCTGCGCGTGCCAGAACCCTTCCCAGTAGGGGGCGCTCAAAGAATGTCTGGGTGAGTTAGAGTTAAAAATACGCGCTAGCGCCCCTCCCAGGAAATCCCAGAAGTTTGGATCTATGGGTTTTCACCCCCCTCCCATTTTCCAGAAGGGAAGTTGAGACCCTGGCTGGCTAGCTCCGGACACCCTGGGGACACCCATCGCTCAGCGAGGCCATACTGACCAATATCTGTCTTGGAGTCTTCGCGCTCCTCTTCTATGTCCTGCTCCACCGACCTGCCACGGTGCAGCTCCAGCTCCAGCAAAGCATGCTGTTGGATCTCCTCCGGCGGGAGGCAGAGGCTTTCCTTCAGAGAAATGGACTGGCTGTATCGCCGGCGAGACTTGCCCAAGTCTTGCCCCTCGTCGTCGAAGTTCTCGCAGACCTTGGACAGCGACACGTTAGCCGTGGACTCCGACATCGTGGCGGTACTCCACAGATTGCGAACATCCTCGTGCAGGCCTTCCTTGATGGAGCTGCGACGACGGTGGGAAAGTCTGGACGTCGCCTGTGGGTCACAGACAAGGAAGGAAGCCAGGGGACTCAGGGAGCTGGGGAGGGGCACCCAGAGCCAGGCCTGGGTCGGGGAAGCTCAGACACGAGTCGGGGGACTAGCTGCCCGGAGCCCAGAATGAGTGACAGGTCACCCCAGAGGCTTGGAGGAGGCTGGAGATGAGTCTGAGTCAGGACAGGGGTGCTAGGGAAGAGTTCTTACTTTGTAAGAATTTTCGTCCATGGTTCTGCCCGCCAACGGACCAGTCCCAACAGGCCTCAGGCAAAGAGAAGGGGGGGGGTGTCACGCTCCAAGAAGGGGGAGGGGCAGAGTCCCCTTCCGGGATGACCTGAAGTACTCTCGCGGGAGGAGACTTCAAACTACAGCCGGCCACACCATCATCAGCTCGGCATCCCTCCCACAACCCTCCTCCATTATTGATGCTGAGGTTGGAGACGGCCCAGGCCAGTTCGGATGCCGGATCCTACTGGTTTGCCTCCAGGCAGGGGCACCCGAGCTTGCCGGAGGGGGCCGCGGCTTGACCGGAGTGGGTGCTCAGGAGTGACAGGGGACTAAATATGCCCTCGCGGTGGCTTGAGGAAGGCAATCCCACACCCACTGGCGTCCCCGGAGTACGCACGGACGGTGCAAACTTTTCGTTTATTGATTGCAGGCTTTGAGGCACAGTCGTGAAGGGACCAGCCCGGCCAGGGCAGCGAGACAGAAAGGCTTTGGGTGGGTGGGGTCTGGAAATGGCTGGAAGTGAGGAAGGGGCGGAGGGAGGGGACTGGCGAGCAGTGGCATTTGGCAAGCCTTGGCCTCCTCCCTTGGCGGTCTGGTTGCGTCGAGGGAGAGCTCTTTGGTTAAACAAGCCAAGCATGCCTGGGAAACTTTGCAAGAACTAAGCCCTTTGAGGGGGCCGCGCCGAGAATGCTTGCTGCCCCTTACACCCGCACGGCCTTGTCTTGGGGGCGCCCACGAACCCCCCGGGGCCGCGCCGGCTTCCTGGGAGGGTTGGGACGACGACGACCCCGGGGCGGACGAGGCAGGGCACAGCCGCGCTCGCTCTGCGTGTCCGAGGACTCGTCGATGAAGGCCAGATTCTCGCTGGGGTAATCCAGCGCTGAGGCGGTGGGCGGGGAAGGCGTCTGGACCTTCTCCCCAGGCGCAGGGGATCCCGGCCTGCCCACTGGCTGCGCCGGACAAGGCGGTGCGGGCAGGGATACCGGCAGGGATGCGGGCAGAAGCGGCTGCTGCTTCTCCGGCGGCGGCGGGACGGTGGGCCCGGTTCTCTGAGTCACCCTCGCAGTCACGGTGCCTGTCCAGCTGGCAGCCTGAGCCGTGAGTCCACCCATCTGCGCGGGGAGGAAAGGGAATCCTCGACCGACTGCAACTCCTGGAGCAGCGCCTTTACCAGCGCATCCACATTTTCTCCTGGTCCTTCAGCCTCAGCCCGACGGAAGTTGGAAGGGCACCTCACCCCCAAAGGCACATTCTCCCCTTCTGCATCAGCCGGAAGCACCCCCCACCTTCTCCAGGAGCCTTTCTAGAGAAAGCCCCAATTTTATTTCACTTCGATGCCCTTATGTAGTTAGGTACTAAAAATGCAAGTCGTCTAGTTTTCTAATTTTGTGTAAGTATACCCATACAATATTTCTGGCATATTCTAAAATCCTATTTGTTGTTCAATTGAGAGTCACATTTAACTGGGCTTTCTGTATTGTTGTTGGTTGGAGGATTTTCTCTCTCTTTTTTTTTTTTTTTTTTTTTTGATACAGGGTCTCCCTGTAGCCCCAAAAGGCCTGTAGACCAGGCTGGCCTTGATCTCACAGAGACCTACCTGCCTCTGCCTCCCGAGTGCTGGAATTTTAATCTATACTTGGCCCTGTGGTTATTTTTGAGACAGGGTCTTACTTAGTCCAACCTGGCCTGAACTCTCGTCAATCCTCCTGCCTCAGCTTCCTAAGCACTGGGATTTCCAGATGTGTGCCACCTCACCCAGCACTCTCTGTACTTTTCTTTGCTGACCCTGACAACCCTATGCATGAGGGCAGAGCTGGTCAAGTCTCTGACAAACCCCTCTGTTCCCAGCAGGGCACACTCAAGGTCTCAGTTCCCAAGGAACCCACATTCTGGAGGGGAGCTATGCTGCTGGTCAACCAGCTGTTAGGGGTCATCACGCACAAGTGCCATGGCACATGCACTGCAGAGAGGCAATCAAAGCTGGGGTACCTCTGCCCGCGTGCGGCGGGACACCGCTCGCAACCAGTTGCCGATGGTGGTGAGCACTGAGGCGAAGTAGGCCAGGCCGAGCAGGATCCAAAACCACACAAGAGGCTGGTAGGCTAAAGGACCGGGCCTGTCAGAGTTGGTGCCTGAGGATTTCATAGGGAGGGAGAAAATAAGTTGATTGTGGGGCATGTAAGTGAGCCGCTGGCACACAGCCTGTTTCCTCACCCGGTTGAGAGAGTAGGCTCTCCCCAGAGCAGAGGGGACGTGCTAGCCTGTGTGAATGTGTGCAGGAAAATGAGTGTGCATGAATTGAAGTTGTGCATAATTAGAGCATGCAAGAGGGGGTATGCTTGCAAGAACCTAACACGTAAGAAGACTGCACTTAATATATGTATGAGCATGCATGGGATTTGGGCATGCATGAATATAAGTGGGCGTCAGGAGCTGCCTGTGTGGAAGAACGCGATGGTGCATTCCGTGTAGAGTGCAGAAGCTAGAGCAAACGCCCCACAGAGAAGCCGCAGTGCAGTGCTGGAGTGCAGGGACACAGTCCACAAGGAAAGCGCTGGGCAAGGTCTCACCCGCCACATAATCGCCGAAGCCCACAGTTGTGAGTGTCACTATGACAAAGTAGATGGCTTCCAGCTCACTCCAGTCCTCCATATAGCAGAACACGAATGTGGGCGTGAGGACGAAGAGCAGGCAGCCGATCAGAAGGAAGAGCACGGCCGACAGCACTCGCACCAGCCCAGGTGGCACCTGCCACTTCTGCGGGGAGGGGCGGTAGACAGGACCAATAACCAACCTCCAGTGCCATTCACCCCCCCCCATCCTGCCATACTGTGAGGCTCCTACCCTCTAGGGGTGCACACTCACATGCTAGGGACCTACAGAAGTGTACCCTCAGCTCATAGCAAGTGCACGAAGGTCATGGAGCAGCTCACCAAGAAGATTGCTTCGATGTGCCCGATGCCCCGGCGGAGAGAGGAGCCCAGCCGGTCCCCGACCCCCGCCAGCAGCATCCCGAACAGCGGGATCCCCACCAGTGCATAAAAGATGCAAAAGAGGCGCCCCGCATCTGTTCTCAGGGCCATATCGCCATAGCCTAGGTAGAGGGGTTGAGCTGGAAGTCTAGGCGGTTCCTGGTACCCCTGCCTCTCCCTGTACCTTACCCCAAAAGGAAACTCCTTGCCTCCTGCCTCCCTCCATAAACCCTATCTCTCCCCCACCGATGGTAGTGATGATGGTCCCAGAGAAAAAGAAGGCTCTGCCCAGGTTCCAAGCTGAGTGGAAGGTGTCATTCGTCGAGTTGTTTTCTGCCTTCGCACCCCCTCCCAGGGCATCAGCCACTTTCTGCAGGACAGGGCACAGAAGGAGGAACCTCAGTCCTTCCCTCCAATCTGGACCAATTCCCATCCCTCCTACCTCGAGGCACTGTGTTTTCCACTTCTTGCCCTCTTGGACCCCTTCAGTGTGGGTTTTTTGTTGTTGTTGTTGTTGTTGTGGTTACCCCCACACACACACACACACAGAATCTCACTGTATAGCCTTGGCTGGCCTGGAATTCACTGTGTAGATCAGGCTGGCCTTGAACTCACATAGATCCACCAGTCTCTGCCTCTGCCTCTGCTGGGATTAAAGGTGTCCACCTAGCTGGTTTTGTTTTGCTTTTTGACAGGATTTCCCTTAGTCTCTCAACCTATCCTTTTGTGGTTGACTGTGTTTTTTGTTGTTGTTTGTTTATGGTTTTTGGTTTTGTTTTGTTTTTGTTTTGAGATAGGGTGTAGCCCAAGCTGCCCTGCAGTTTACTGTATAATCCAGGCTGGCCTGGAATATTGCACCCTCCTGCCTCAGGCCCCCAAGTGCTAGGATTACAAGTATGTGCCACCATATCTGACTTTATACAGTGGATACCTATTTTTACAGTCAGGAACACTGAACACTGAGACCAAGCTGTCTGTGTTCCAATCTTGGTGCTGTGCAACTTAAGGCAAGTTAAGGCTCTGTACCTCACTTTCTGCCTATATCACACAGGTGATGGTTATAACACCAACCTCACAGATATGGTGTGAAGATTTGGAAGCACTGGGTATTTATTGGATAACTTCCCACATAACCATTATGCATTGGGATTTCCAGCTTTCCACAGATACCACCTCTCCCACTGCCCCAGTGCCTTGTCTTAGACAATGAAATAAAAGGTAGAGGTCTTCCCTCATCAAATTTTGCAGCTCGCTTCAAGATGTTCATGTGTACTTGTACACACACACACACACACACACACACACACACACTTCCCCATAACATCTAAGCCAAACAAGGTGTTTCATATGGGGTCCTCAATAAATATGATTGGATGAGTGAAATGAGCAGATGCCTGCTCTTTTCTGGCGTATCTGTAAATTCCCCTGGAGCAGGATCTGTGTCAAGAGAATGCTCGCCCAGGGTGCTGGGAGGTCAGAGTTTCAGAAAGAGGTGATAGAGAAGGGCCCTTCCCCCAAGGTAAGCAAGGAGAAAGTCAATGGGAAGTTCACAGCCCAACCTTTATCACCCTATGGTTCTCTTTAGAAAGACCCACTCCTGGGGCTGGAGAGATGGCTCAGTGGTTAAGAGCACTGACTGCTCTTGCAGAGGACCCAGGTTTGATTCCCAGCACCCACATGGCGGCTATGAACCATCCAGGGGAATCAGAAGCCCTCTTCTGACTTCAGTGGCATTGCACACCATGGGTGCACTCACATACATGCAGGCAATACACTCATACACATAAAGTAAAAATAATAAATATTTTTTTTAATTAAAAAAAAAAAGACCTGCTCTTAGTTCATCCTCCCTAACTTGACTGCTGAAAGCCCTCCAGGCTCCCATCTGTCTGCAGAAGAATCTAGGCTCCTTGGCTCAGCACCTATTTATTTGCTTATTTTGAGACAGGATCTAGTGTAGCCCAGGCTAGCTCAAACTGACTAGGTAGCCCAAGATGGTCTTACACTCCATATTCTCCTGTCTCTATGTCCTGAGTACTGAGATTATGGATGTGATGTGCCCTGCCCAGTTTTTCAGTTTTTGTGGGGCTAGAGATTGAACCTAAGGCTGATTACATGCTACTCAACCAACTAAGCTACATTCCCAGAGTGTTAGTTTCTCTCTCTCTCTCTCTCTCTCTCTCTCTCTCTCTCTCTCTTCTCTCTCTCTTGTTGGGGGGATAGTCTGTTTGCTTATCTTTGTTTTTGGAAACAGGGTCTTGCTCAGCAGCCAAAGCTGGCCTGGAACTCACAGCAATCCTCCTGTGTCTGTCTCCCAAGTGCTGAGATTACAGGTGTGAGCCACCATACCCAACTTCAAGCACTTTTTTCAAACTGTCTCAACCTTTCCCTAGACTTCTCTCCTGAGGTTCTGATTTGGCACCCCAAAGTACAATGACCTCCCCCCCCAGACTTTCTGAGATGATTTCATGTTCTATGATGATTTTTAAATAAAGGCAAGAAATGTCTGATTAAAAATTATTTAATTTTTATTTTCCAATGTTTTTTCAAAAAAAAGAAAAACTCTCCATCATCCTGTGTATTCTAATTTTTCCTTCAAATGACTGGGCATCTGCTATCTCCGGATTTTGCTCTACACTCTGAGCTCTCCAGCTTTCACACCTTGGCCATGCTGTTCCTCTGACTAGGAGTTGTGTATCCACACTCTCTAAACTCTGTCTCTCTCACCTGTTATTTTTCAACTGCCAGCTCTTCCCAAAGCCCCTGAAACTCCCTTCACTCCCAGCACACAGCCCAGTGCCCAGCACACAATGGGTGCTTAACAAAAAAAGGAAGGAACTTTCCCTTCCCATGGTTTCCTACAGTGATCTGTCTGTCCCTGGAACTGTTCCCAGTGCTAGGGGTGATATCCTCCAGGGAAGATCTGCACCTGCTCCACCCCAAAATCTGCACCTCTACTCACACCCTCTACAGCACACAGTAGGTGCACAATTGCTTCATGATTCACTAAGTCAGGGAGTGACTCTTGGTGTGGAAGAGAAGCCTAAGCTCCTGCCACCCAGAGTTCTCTCTCTCCCCCCCCCTCTCTCTCTCTCCTGTCTTATCCAAGAATAAAGTAATTCCATCGTGAAGATAAAATAGGTCAGACTCCCTCCCTCCCTCTGCCCTATGGTCTGGCCAGGCACACTCTCCTCCGCCCAGGCCTTTCTAAGCAGAGCTTGTCCTGCTTTCTGGAAGAGACATGTCAGGTGGCCTGTGGCCTGGCCCCTTCCCACCCTCATCTTTGCACTGGGTCCTGCCACCTTAGGAATGAGCTGCAATGCTGAGGCTTACATGCCATCCCTCCAGAAAGAACAGGCAGGGAATGAAAGGTACTCTTGGGTCAAGTGAGAAATAATCGTTTATTAAGGTTAAACCATCACAGGGACTTGGAAAGCAACATAGGAGCTCACTAGCTGGAAGTTTGAAGGATGAAGCCAGAGTTTCCCCTCATGGCTGGATGGAGGCTAATCAAAAGAGCCTGACTCCCACCCCTCCCTTTTGCCTACCTGGTAACATGCATTCTGGAGAGAAAGGGCCCCTAAGCTGTCATCCAGAGTGGCATGAATAGAAACCCTCCAATATTATCTGTACGTGCTTATATGCATACTTGGGGACACAAGGAATTGTTCACAGTATTCTTGGGTTCCTCTAAGACATCTGTGACTCCAAAAATGCACAGAAGCTGGCATTGCTAGAGCAGCCAACTTTAGCACATAAAAAACATTTCGGGGAATCAGGCATGGTGGTTCCTGCCTGTAATCCTAGCACTGAGGAGACTGAGGCAGGATTGCCCTGAGTTTGAGGTCAGCCTGGGTTACAAAGTGACCAGAGCTGCATAGTTAGCCTCCGCCTCAAAAACAAAAATAAAAACATTGCTTGGAGATGTACTAAAACACACTGACTGTTTAGCTGAGAGTATCATGCCCAGATTTGAACTAATGACCTGATAAGTGTTAGACCTGTGCAAATGTAACAGCCCATATGCTCCAGCCATTCATCCACTCATTTTCCCTTCCTCCCATGACCATCACACAGGGGATGAGACATTCCAGGATCACAGCTTTGTGCCAGGCACAGCAAGAAAAGCAAAAAGACAAAAACCTATGGCTGCCACATTGAAAACAGACACCTGGACTCCAGCTCCTGGCCTGATCCTGCCCCCGCCCCAGTTCTCAGGGATGGGTAATTAGAAGCAGCACCCCCAGAAGGGCCCCACTGCTGCCCAGCTCTGCAGCCTACGCACCCAGATTAAGTTCTGCAGTTCTTCCTTGCTCACACATGGATGGTCCCTCAGGAACTTGTCTCGGACCTCCCCTAGTACCTTCTGGGCCTGCTGCTCATGAGGCTGCTCCAGGGCCTGGAACACGAGGGCCCCTGACACCAAGTACAGCAGGACCAGCGCCAGGAGGGCCAGAAGTGTGGTGCAGCGCATGGCCCGTGCAGGGGCAGGTCCAGGTCCACTGCCTGCCTGGGGAGGAGGAGCAGGGGATTCCTGGGGAGCAGTGGTCACTGTGGGCAGAACCAACGGTTCTGGGGTCAGTAAGAAGTCTGAAGTCTGACACCTACAGCCTGTTCCTGTATCCTCCAGACTTGCCAAGGTCTCGGAGCCCCCCTGCCTTACTCTCCACAGATAGTGTCTCCCCCCTCCATGTCCTTCCGCTAGATACCTGGTACCAGGTAATAATACCCAGTCTGCCCCCGGCCCCAGCCTCCTTACCTCCATCGCCTGGCCATCAGGAGAGTGGGAGGAGGCAAGAAACACTAAGACTGCCTTGGAAGAGGCAGAGTGAATGATGCAAAGTGGAAAGTTGAGGGGCACAGGGAATCCGCCTTGGTAAAGAAGGCTGAGTGAGACTGAGGCAGGCTGAGAGTGGGAGGAGAAGCAGGAGCACCCAGGGTGTTAACAGGGACAGCGGGTCCATCCATGGCTCTCCTGATGCAGCTGTGGTAGCCTCCTTGTGGCACCCTCCTGGTGCACCTCTGTCCCCTCCCATCCCACCTCTCCTGGCTCCGGACTAGCTGGGATTCTCAGGACGGGGAGCCTCCAGGGTCCCTTGAACGCCCTGTGGGGCTTTGGGCTTTCGAGGAACCCAGGGGCGGGTCCCATCCAGCTCAGGGTAGATGCAAAGCCGGCAGCCAGGGAACGGAAGGTTCCGGGAAGGAGCAAGGCACAGGGTGGGCAGGGTAGCTGGATGCCGCAGCCCTTGGGACAGCGGTCAGCTGGGGGGCAGTGGACAAACACACACACTCACATGCCCCACCACCAGTGCCACAAAGACCCGCGCGCCCACGCTCCACCCTGCGGCTCCAGCCCGGCACGTTGCTAGGGCTGCAGGCACCGCACTGCACCGGCCAGCTCGCGCGGACCCCCAACACACCGGACCCCCATGGGCGTGCCCGCTGTGCTGAACCTCCTAAGATCTACGCGCAAGAGATCCATGCACACGTGTGCGCACACACCAGCCGCTCGCTCCCACCGCCTCCCCCGCATCCTCACGCCGACGCTTCCAAGCGTGACCGGTGATGGGACGCGTGGTCACCCGACTCCAGAAGGCGTCCACGAAGGGGAGGTGGGTGTCCCGGCCCTGCCTGTCGCCCCCCAGCCGACAGAGCCCCGGAGTCCTGCCCAGGTCCCCGCACCCGCCCCGCACTCACTGTCAGCTCCCTCTGCGGCAGCAGCTGCGGCTGGGTCTCGCGCTCGCCGCCTCCCCGGTGCCCCTCGCGGTTGCTGGCTGGGCAGTGGAGGCGGCAGCAGCAGGGGCGGAGCGGGCGGCCACCCCGGGCTGGGACCCCGGCTCCCGCCGCCAGAAGCCCCTTCCTCCCACGGTTAACCCTTCCAGCGCCGGGCCTCCCTCGGTGCGGCGCCCTCCCACGATGCTCAATGCTCGCTGCTACCTCCTCCCGCCCAGCTCTTTACCTGCGGCCTCCGGGCTCCCCGAGCTCCCGAATCCTGGCCTGCCTTGGGCAGTGGACCACTGAGGAGTCAGAAAGCAGTCGCTGCGGGGTCCAGCCTTCTAGCCTGGGATCGATGAGAGCCCAGTGTGGCCAGCGGCTTTGGCACCAGCCTGGACATCAGCTGGCCCAAGACTCCGGACGGCTGTCACACTCATCTCCTGGCATCTTCTATGTCCATTACAGGACTGGGAAGGGCCCTCATTTCTCTGCCAGTGGGGACAGCCTGGCCCTTGGGCTCAGCACTTAGGAGAGAGAGGCCCCCTGGGAGAAAGGAGTGTGTGTGGGTGGAGGGCAGGAGATCTCTTTGGGGCCACCTGGATTTGACCAGCCATGGGGGTTGGGTCCTAGCTCTGGGAAGTCACTATGCAGCTCTTCCCCACCCTCCTCCTGCATCCCCAGCGCTGGTCCTCCTGGCCCTGGAGTCAGTCCCAGGGGCCTGGCTGGAGCTGTCTGCCAACCCCAGCAGAAAGACTGCCAGTATTCTCTGAACAGCCACGGCCAGGGCCCACACAGTCTCTGCTCCTCCCTGCTCCAACCCATTTCTTTACAACTACCACTTCCCCCGAAGTCCCTCCTCTAGCATCAGAGATCCTGTGCCCTTGTGGTCAGTACTTTTAAGCCTAAAGTTAAGGTGACCATCCCCTGGTGATAGAGGTCCTAGGCAGGTTACCACTCTCTAATCTCCCTGTTCTCATAGTAAAAGGAATGATTATCTCTGGGTGCCGATCGGTGCATTTAAGAGGTCAGTGTTTATAAATACTCAAGGCAAAGCCTGGCACACACAGTTAAGTGCCCTATAAATGTTAGCAATTTTCCTTTCAACCAAAAGTGCTTGTCCAGTTTCATGCTAAATCTGAGTTTCTGATGATCTTTCTGGAAACCCTGCAGGCCTGGCTCTGAGATGATCATGAGCAGAGGGTTTCAAGGCAGACCCGTTGCTAGGCCCTAAGGCCTCAAGGGAACTGGAATCACCAAGCGTACAAGCAGGATTCACAGGCTAGTCTAAACAGGACAGATCTGCCAGGGTGGCAGGTGCACAAGACAGTGACTAAGCTGTTGGGGCAACCAGAGAAGGGAAGGGGTTCACCCGAGCATACACAGCATGTAGACAGCCCGGCAATGTGGGTGACCCACACCCGGGTGAGGAGAGGGAGGCTGCTCTGCAGCCCTAGCAACATCTCATTTGTAGACCCTCAGTAACCCTGGCACTTGAAGGGCAGGTTAGGGAAGGTGAGAGAAACTAGGCCTCAGGCCAGCTAGATGGCTCAGTGGGTAAGGGTGCTTGCTACCAAGCCTGAAAATCTGCATTTGATTCCCGGAACCCATATGGTGGAAGAGAAAACCAACATTTGCAAGTTTTTCTCTGACCCCTACATATATGTCTACGTATACACACATAGGAGCATGGATACATACTGTGAATGAATGAATGAGTATTAAATAAACTGGGCCTCCCACCACAAAGCACAATCCGTTTCAGTTAAGATGCCTAATGGCATTGAATAGCTGGCTCAGCAGTAAAGGTGACTGCTCTTGCAGAGGAGCTGGGTTCAGTTCCTAGCACATGGCAGCTTACAACTGTCTGTAACTATCGTCAAGAGGATCCAATGCCCTCTTCTGACCTTTGCCTGCACCAGACACACATGTGGTGCAAATACATACATCCAGGCAGACAGTCATATACTAAGTTTTTTTAAATTATGGCTAACAGGTTAGGTGTGGTGATACATTATTTTAATCCCAGCACTTGGGAGGTGGGGGAGGCAGGTCAAGAGTTCAAAGTCATCCTTGGCTACATCCAGGCCTGCCGGGGCTATATGAAAAACCCTATCTCAAAAGGCTAAAATGGAGCTGGGCATGGTGGCATAAGCCTTTAATCCCAGCACCTGGGAGGCAGAGGCAGGCAGGTGGAGTTCTGTAACTTCCAGGCCAGTCAGAGCTACATAATGAGACTTTGTCTCAAAGAAACCAGAAAAACAAGTAACAAAAAGTTAAGGGGCTGGAGAGATGGCTCAGCAGTTAAGAATACTGGTTGCTCTTCCAGAGGACCTGGGTTCCATTTCCCAGCACCCATATAGCTGTTAACAAGCATCCGTAACTCCAGTTCTAGGGGATCTGATGCCATCTTCTGATCTCCATGGGCACTGCATGCACATGGTGCACATACATACATGCAGGTAATACACTCATACATATAAAAAAATATTTAAGTTAAAATAGGGCCAGTGAGATGGTTCAGCAGGCAAAGGCACTTGCTGCCAAGTCTCATGACCAGAGTTGTATCCTTGAGACCCACAAAGTGGAAGAAGAGAACCAACTCCAGCAAATCGTCCTCTGACTTCCACATGTGCCATGACAAGTGCACACCAACACACATATACACAAAAATTCAAAGTTGTCATAAAAAAACTTTTCAAATACCTAATAGCCATATAATCACAGTACTGTGTGACCCAGGAGAAGGGAAGTGGTTCTCAGCACAGAGGATGGAAAGTTTTGTAAAGGAAGAGATTTGACCCAATCCTCTCCCACTAACCAGCCCCTATGGAGATGGAAGCCATGGCCTTATCTAACACTGCATGAAAGTGCTTTACAACTGAGTCAAATCCTAGCCTGTGGCGGTGATTTCCAGATCAGGCATGGCCTGCCATGCTTCTAGTCCCAGCTATTTGAGCAGAGGCTAAGAGAATCACTTCTGGCCAGGCTGGCCAACACAGCAAGGGCTATTCTGGACCAGAAAACTTCAAGAGACCTGTGCAGTCTCCCTGCCCACCAGCCTTGATGGTCAGTGACCCCTGCCCAGCCCAGCAACTCATGTCAAGGGCCAGTATACGATCAGCCTGATAACAGGTCAGGATAAGAAAGAACGCAGACAAGTGACTGGCAGGTGAAGGGATAGGGCACGGACTCTGTTTATTGAGTGGTAGGCACAGGAGAGGTAGCTGGCTCCAGTGTGGAAGCAGAGGCGGCACATCATGCCAGGGCACTGTGGGCATCTGGCAGCCTAGGCTGTGTCCCCATCTTAGGGAGGTGGCACAAGCTCACTACGACAGGAGCAGCAAGGAGCTGGCCAGAGGACAGGGAGGCCAAAGTCCCCCGGGATCCTGGGCAAGAAGCGGCAGATGAACTTGACACAGGGGCCTTGGATGAAGGGAACTGGGGTCTGGGTGTTCTGGGGGAAGTGGAGGGGGATCACGTTTATGGGGTGGAATAGAGGCTGTGGTGGTGACCGCCAGGTCCTGGCACCTGGGAGAAGAGCAGAGGAGTGGTCCTTGTCTGGCTGGCCCCTCCCCAGCCCGGTTCACGCCCGATGGTGCCATACCAGCTGCCAGAGCCCAGGCTGCCCGACATGCTGCAGGCAGAGAAGCAGGGTCAATCCCAGGCAATGATCAGAGCCATTCATGAGGGGGAAGAAAGGGGCTTAGAAGAGACCCTCTGCTCCCGAACAGCCCCCGGGGCCAGAGAGAACTTCATCTTGGGGCAAGGGAGCAGGATTAGCACTGGAAACCCAGAGGGAACTTCACTCAGAACAGATGGGGAAACAAAGGCCTGGCTCTTGGTCTCCATTGCCTCTGCCAGGCAGGACCCCAAATGGAGCCTGGCTGGGCCCTGAGGCCCCTCAGACAGGGTCGAGGTTCCTACCTGGTACTCTCACTCCGGCTGTGCTCCCAGGAGCAGCCCTCGTCCTCACAGTGCCCAGCCCGGTCAAAGAAGTAGGAACGGGAACCAAAAACTTGCCCATTGAGGATTCGACTGGTGCTCTGGGGGAACGGGGGAGACAATGCTATGAACTGTTTCTCCTACACACACACACACACACACACACACACACACCCGCATAACTGCCCCAGGACTCCAACCCAGAATTCCCAGGGTCTAGCCCTCGCCACTGGCCCCAGAGACAGGTGGGTGTCCTACCAGGTCCTGTGGGGGCCGGTGCACTCGGAAGAAGCCCACCAGCAGGGTGGTGGGCAGCAGCTCCCACACAAACAGAATGAGGCCAAACACCAGGTAGCCTTTGTTCCCTAGGTCATTCACCAGGTCCGCCTGGGGGAAGGCAGAGGCTGGGGACAGTCTGATACCACGAAGAGCATGCTGGATACGGTCCTGGTCAATTGGAAGCCAGGAACCGCTACTAAGGAAGGGACAAACATGGCAAATGCCTACCTGGTCAGATACATTGTACCAGTCATAATCGAAGGCATCCAGCCAGCTCCGAGGGGCCAAAGCCAGAGCTGCCAGGTTGTAACAGGCCCGGCTGGCATAGAGCAGGACCATGGCGCCCCCCATGGCAGCCGCCTGGCATACACTGGTTCCCTGGCAGAGATGACAACAGAGGACCTTCAGGAAGAGAGGGCTCCCATCTTCCTCTACACCCCAAAGACCTCTGTCCAAAGAACCCCAAGAATACCACATCAGGGTTGGTGGCCCTACCTTGGCCTCTAGGTAGATGCTAGTAGAGGGGGCTCGGCGGGCCACAAGGCAGAGGCAGGCAGCAAGCGAGAGGGCACAGATGACGAAGAGGGAGTCGCTCACCAGGACACGCACCAGCAGTAGGGCCCAGGGCTGTGCCCGACGCCGGCGGGACAGCACTGCACACAGTACATTGACCAGCAAAAAGAGCAGCGAAGCACCCACGAAGGCCCCTCGGACGGCCAGCCTGCAGCCCACAGCAGAGTCAGCCCTGGACCATGGATCACCCTTGGCACTCACTGACCACCCTATCTCCCCAGGAGACCCCAGTGTCAGTCAGAACTCAGATGGTCCAATCCAAACCCTGCTTCTCCAGCTTTGCAGATGAGGAAACTGAGGCCCAAAGAGGTAAGAAGGTGATTAGAGGCCATGGCATCTTAAAGGGAATACCAGTTAGGTATTAGTTAGCTGGCCTCCTGCCAGCTGTGTGACCTTGAACAGGTTGCTTTATCTTACTGGATCTCAGTTTATTGCTCAAATGAGGATTAATAGCCTCCATGCCGGACGTGGTAGCACACGCCTTTAATCCCAGCACTCGGGAGGCAGAGGCAGGCAGATCTTTGAGAGACCAAGCAGCCTGGTCTACATAGTGAGTTCCAGGACAGCTGGAGCTACAAGGAGACCCTGTCTCAAAAAAAGACAAAAAAAAACCCCAAAAACAGAATAGCCTCCTGGACGAGGTATACAGGATGCTTGGGAAATATCTTTATGAACTGAAAAACACCATGCAAAGGAATGGGGAAGCACAGCCAAGGTCACTCAGAAGTACAGCAGGGCTTTGCAAATCCCATTGAGGCCTTAAGTTTTCTCCACTGTGGGTGACACTGGTGCTCTCTGAACCAGGTGCTTTAGTTTCTCCAAACTATGTCAAACAGTCCCTGGGTTGTTTGTGTCTCAGCTCTGCAAGGTTTGTTTCTCCCTGCCACTGACCCACCAGACTCCCAGGTACTTACAAGCCTCGGCTCATCTCTGGCCTACGCTTTGCCTTGGCCTTGAACACCACCTGGGAGCAGAGATACCCATCATTCCTTTGGGCCCTTGGGCTTTCCCCCCACCTTCCACCCCACTTATTTCCCGTGGTTACCTGGGCAAAGTAGAGGTTCATAAGCGTCAGTGTGAAGAATTGCAAGCAGACAGGGCAGCAGTAGAGAAGCCAAAAGGGCAAGGGCCCCAGGCGATTGGCCCTGGGGGTATCTCGGAAGTAGAAAGAGAAGAGAGTGGTACGTAAGGCCGCCCAGAGCAGACAGAGTGCCAGGAACACCGTCTGATAGCTGAGGCGCTTGTGCCCATACAGAAGTACCAGCCAGAGCTGGGCGTAGACAGAGAAGAAGAGTAGGGCATATAGGGCAGTGTACGCAGCAGTCAGCCCTAGGGTCACGGTAGGCGGCAGTGCAGGCACCAGCCCGGCAGCAGGCACCAGGCCAGACAGGTTACTCTCCATGTCAGGGAAGAAGGCCTGAATCCCGGAGAGAGATGGAGGGCTGGCCAGACGCCAGGAAAATAAATACGGAGGAATGGGAACTGCAGGATGCGGTGAGAGCTGGGGACTCTGGAGGAAGAAAGTTGTGGTTGTTAGACCCTTCCTCTACAGAGTCGCTCCCTCGTGGGGGGTGCGGGCAGTCTGGGCCCTGGACCCCTCACTCTGGACTGTGGAAGGGCAGTTCTTTCCTACCCAGGGCAGACGGAGTAGGGGGTTGAAGATATCTCTCCCTGGGCCAGAATCAGAACCACAAGGATGGGAGGATGCAGGGGCTCAGGAAGTCGCTGGCCTTAGACGCTCGTGTCCGGCTGGCAGGAGGGGGAGAGCCGGCCGATGCCCGTCAGTTCTGGGCAGCGGCCGCTGCGGGGGCGCCCAACGCCCCGCTCTCCCCCTCCCCAAGCTTGACGGCTCTTTCCCCTCCAATAATCCGGATTAGGGCCTCGTCCTCTGTCCTGGAGATTCCAGACGTTGTCCCCGCCCCCACCGCGTCCACCCTCAGCCGCGGTGGGCCAGAGGAAGACGATGCAGGGTCCTCAGGGGAAGCGGGATCCGGTCGCCGGGACGCGGGGCTCCAGCTCCCCTGCTCCCGCTGCTCCGCCCCCCTCCTGCGCCTGCGCGGGCGTCGCTTCGCTACGCAAACAGCGCAAGGGTCGGCGGGGACTCCGCGGCCGCGCACCGCACCCGGCGTGGAGCGCTTCGAGAATGGGCGCGAGGTGCGTAGCAGGCGGGCGCCCGGTGTTACGGATGGTGGCGGGCGACCGCGAGGTTGAGGCTGGGCCGCACGGAGCAGCACCGAGTCATCCGTGCCCTGGGCCGCCGCCTCGTGATGTTTGGGGCACCACCAGTTTTCACGCTTAGATCCTCATCCCCTAATCGGGATCGGCGTGCCCGACGGGAGAGCGGCAACGAATTCCCCTCACTGGGTCGCGGAGGGAAACTTCCGCCCACAACCAAGATGGCGTCCGGGCCCCGCCCCCTGGCCTCGGTTAGATGGCCGTGTGCTCCGGCCTGCGGCTGCTCGCGCTCACCTGGCCGGCTGCAGCGTCCCCGTGAGCCCCACGGCTCGCCCTCCCGGGGGCTCCGGCCCCGTCTCCCGCACGCGGGAAGTCTTCCTGCCCGGGAGGAGCCCCCGAGATGGCGCAGGGAGGTGTCCCTGGAGTGGGCAGCGCGAGGCCTCCACGCCCGGGAGGAGGAAGAAGGAGCGGGCTTCCCCGACCCAATCACGCTGGCCTGGCGGAGCAATAACCATCGCAACGACCATTGCACCCGACGGCCGAGCTTCAATGAACGGCTCTACAAAGTGCTTTCGCCCACCGTCATCACCGCGCTGTTTACAAAGTTTCCACCTGCTCCCCAGGGAGGTGTCAGTAGCCCCGCTTTACAGGGGAACAAGGGCCCAGAAGAGGCTGGAGGACTTGTCAGCAGAAGTGGGCCTTCAGGTTCCAAATGGGAACCCCAAAGAGGCCCTCGCTAGCTCCTGCACACGCCCGAGGCGTGAGGAAGTCTGAGTCCAGCATCCGGAGCCTGGGGAGCGACGCGGGAGGAAGGCGGTGGCGACCAGCAGGTCGACGGCGGGGGTGGGACCTGGCCTGGGGTGGCCCCGCCTCCGGGCCGACCCGGGATTCATTTCGAGAACTGATTGGGTCCAATAGGTGACAGTTCCCGTTGTCCAGGAAACTAGGGCTGGGCGCCCTTAGTACTGGAGGGAGGCAGCGGGCCCGGGTCAGGGGCCTCGAGATCGGGCTTGGGGTGAGACCTGTGAGCCGTCACCGCGGACGGGCGGGATGGGCCGGGGCCTAGACTGAGCTCTGAAGAGATGTTTAGGTCCCCAGGGGACCCTGTGTTCTCTGCCAGGCCAGAAGCAACAGATAGATGGGGGTCTGGGAGCATTGAGAGTACTGGTAGAGGGGGGGTGCTCCAGTGGTAGAGGGAGCCAGGGGCACCTGTCCCCTGCCTCTCATCAACATTCTGTCCAGCTGCACTCCGACTACTTACTATCTTGTCTCCACAGCCCAGAGCATGTTCCAGATCCCAGAGTTTGAGCCGAGTGAGCAGGAAGACTGCAGCTCTGCAGAAAGGAGCCTGGGGCCTGTCCTGGCTGGGGACCAGTCAGGTCTCTGCCCGGCCCCAGGTCTCCTAGGGGACACCAGTCACCAGCAGAGGGGTGCGACCAACAGCAGCCATCATGGAGGTAGGATCACCACCACTATCACCGCCTACTTGCCTGTCCCCTGTCCCCATTCAGTTGGGCCCTGCATCCTTGCAGCCATACTCCCTGAAGGCTCTGGAGAAATCTCCACTCTCTCTGACCCTCAAGTTACTCTTTTAGAAATCAATCACTGCCACTGCATTATAGGACCATTGGGTTAATTCACAGGAATGTATGGCAGGTTTTTGATGAGCAAGCTGGTGTATAGTGAATCTCAAAACAGACCCTGTTATTATAGACCTGGGACAGATACCAGGGGGAGGCTGGCAGTGATCACAAAAGGAGAAGTGACTTGCCTAAGGTCACACTGACTTGCTCCTGCCTTCCTAAGAGGTGGGGCTGGAAGACTCCTCACAGTAAATTCTTTCTCACCTCATGACTCCCTTACAGGAGGACTATCCTAGCACATATGAGGCAGGCAGGTGACCCCAAGTGGCAAACAGCTCTCTTATACAGCAGACCAGAGTGGTGGTAGCTGAGGCTAGTCTTGAACTCCTCATACCCCTGCCTTTACCTTCCAGGTGCTGGAATCCATGTGTGCACCACCCTGCCTGGCATCACACACTTCTTTCATAAAATTTTTATGTGTATGAGTGTTTTGCATGTATAAAAGTGTGCCTGTGTATGCAATGCCTTCAGAGGTCAAAGAGGGCATCAGATCCCCTGGAACTGGAGTTATGGATGGGTGTTAGTGCCCATGTGGATCCTGGGTCCTCTGCAAGAGCAGACAGTGCTCTTAACTGCTGAGCCATCTCTCCAGCCCCCATTACACACTTATTTTAACCTCCAGTTTGGGGATTGTTTTAACCTCCAGTTTTGGGTTTGTTGTTGTTGTTGGTTTTTGTTTTTTGTGGGTTTTTTTTTGGTCTTTTTGAGACAGGGTCTTCCTATAGTCGGTCTTCCTATAGTCCTAGCTGGCCTGGAACTCACTATGTAGAGCAGGCTGACCTTGAACTCACAGAGATCTGCCTGCGTCTGCCTCTCAAGTGCAGGGATTAAAGGTGTCCAGATTTCATGCCTGCTGTTTTCCCTCCATATTCCTACCTGTTCTCTACCCCTATTTGGCTGTCTGTCCTCATCCCTGAGGCTCACTGTGTCCTAGAGGACATGGGACCAGCCACAAACAGAGGATCTGTGAACAAACTACACAATGCTCAGAAGATGGTGCTGGGGGTCAGGAGATGAAAGAGGGCAAAAGAACTCCAGTCCCAGAGCTGTGGAGTAACAGATGAGTGACTGTCAGGACTGGGCCTCTAGAAGGAACAGCACTACGGGTAAAGCTAAGGCCTGAGGATTGAGCCACTCTGATGCCTGTGTTCTTAGCAAAGGGAAGAGCAAGTGGGAGGGAGAGGTAGAGAAGGGTAGTTGGAACCCAGTCCAGTCTGTCTTGTCTATATAAGTCTGAGACAGGGTCTCACTATGTAGTCCTGGCCTGGAACTTACACTGGCCTCATGCTGGCCTTGAATTACAGAGATCTGCCTGCCTCCACCTCCCAAGTGCTCAGATTTAAGGCTTATGTCACCATTGGCTGTCTACACAGGTCTTTGAAGGTTATTGTAAGGAACACTTTGAGTGAGACCCTGGGAAGCTTTTGTTTTCCTTTCTTACAAGTGTTGGGGATGGAACCCAGGGCCTTTCCACATGAAGGGCAAATGCTCTTCCACTGAACCACATCCCCAACCCTAGAGCTATACTGAAGGATGGTGCAGTTTGTTAGCAGCCTGGCTGTAGGATGGGGACGTGTCAAGGAGTTCACCCAGCAATTTGGCCTGAGTTCCTACAAGGGTAGAGTCACTCTTGGCAGAAGTCAAACAGGGAGGGGTGAAAGAAGACAGAGCTCAGGTGGGAACTTCTAGACACCTAGGTAGAATTCCCAGAGGCTGCTGTTGGCCAGAGGGGCAGGCAGTTGACCAGAGCAGTGTTTGTGACAACCAGCTAGGAATGGGTACTAGGCAAGTGTGTGCAAGAAGGGAATGGTGGGTGTGAGGTGAGGTGGCCCAGCCTTGAAGAGGGGAGCTGCTGTGGGTAGTACAGCATCATTGGGATTGGGGTACCATACTGGGGGGGGGTGATCAAACAGGTAAGAGGTGGCAGTTAACAAGCAAGAGGCTGGGATGACAGGGTCTAGGTTATGTCCATGGGGTGAGAGGCTAGGAGGAGGAGTGGGCCAGAGGTCAGGAGGACCCCTCAAGTCCCATGAGCTTCTAGAGAGTTAGGGATGGATGGCAGAGAACCAGGGTAATATGTGCCCAAGCCAGGGGTGAACCTGGGGCCCGGGGGTAGGGTGGTGACAGGCTCTGAAAACAGATTTAGGGAGGCAGGTCAGAATGGCCTGCTGAGCATGGAGCAGTGTGAGGCACCCCACAGCTCAGCTCCAGCTTGTAAAGGAAGGCTGCCAGGAGGAAACAGCCATGGAAGGGTGGTTGGACATGTTTCTCTTCTCTTTCCTTCCCCTCCCTCCCATTCTAGGCAGGGGCTGGACCATGAGATATACCCTGAGCCAATGTCCAGGGATTTCATAAACATTTGATTTAGTTTTCAGTTATCTCTAAAGCAAGACTGAGCTGTTCATAGTATAATATGCCTGTAACCCCTGCACCAAGGGGGCATGGTGACTTTGAGGTCAGCCTGGGCTACACAGACCCTATCCCAACAAAACAGCACAACAGGAATGACTTCCCATAAGAAATCTGCAAGCATCAGACCTGCCAGAGCTGAGAGCCGGGGAGCCTCTGTCATGTGCAGAGTCGGTTCACCTTAGTCCCATCTCTCCTGTCCACCCTCACCAGACCCCACTGAGCCGGAAGCATCCCTAAGATAGGGACTGGAGCCCAGTGCCTGTGACAGACATGCACTGTGGAAAGGGCAGGAAGGACGTGAAATGGGAGAAGAAGCCAGTGTTAGCCTCTAGGCCAGACTATAGCATCTGAGGAGGGCTCTTAATTTAAGAGCAGACTGGCAGGTTAACTGGCTCTGCCTTAGTCTCACAATCTGTAAAATGGGAATAGAACTGGTCCTGTCTCCCAGAGCTGCAGTAAGACCCCTGAGTTCATGGGAAAACTTCTTAGGGGCCACAGTTTTCACTGTTACTGGGAGTTGGCTCAGACTATGCAGACCTGGGGTTCACAATTGGAGCCAAGGGCTTCCATTCATGCAGTGTGCCTTGAACACCCAGTACTCACAGATGGCAAACATGAGGTATAGGTTAGAATCAAGATAGACTCAAGGCATTAATTCAATATAGGTAGACAACAGGGATCCATTGAAGATTTAGAGCAGTGAGTAGACACATTTGGGTCTTAGGGCAGGTTGGGAAACCACAGACATGGGCTAAATCCCTGTGGTTTTGTATTACCCCTGGGCAAGGAATTCTTTTTTTTTTAATTATTTATTATTTTTATTTTATGTATATGAGTGTATTGCCTGCGTGTATGTGAGTGCACCTGTGTCGTGCAATGCCGAGGTCAGAAGAGGGCTTCAGATTCCCCTGGAACTGGAGTTAAGGATGGTTCGTAGCTACCATGTGGGTGCTGGAAATAGAACCCGGGTCCTCTGCAAGAGCACTCAGTGTTCTTAACCACTGAGCCATCTCTCCAGCCCCCAGGAATGCTTTTTTAAGAATATTTGTTTTGCTAGGTGTGGTGGTACATGCCTTTAATCCCAGCGCTCTGGAAGCAGAGGCAGGCAGATCCTCTGTGAGTTCGAGGCCAGCATGGTCTAGAGTGAGTTCCAGGCAGCTGGAGCTACAGGGAGACCCTGTCTCAAAAAATTGGTTTTTAAAA